TACTCTGGTTATAGCGACATAAAAACCTGGATGACTCCTAATTATCTGCATTTATACTCAGGAAAAAACCCAAAGTAGGTATTTTTGAACGTGAGCATCTTAGAAATAAACTTTGCAGTCTTTCACTTGGCATTAATTTGGTCTCCAGTTCTATTGTTAAAAAACATTGGTGTTATTTTTGGTCAGGATGTCTTTAACCCCCACATGAAAAATGTTACCAGGACTTTTTTTCATCTGAACAATATCGCTAAAATTAGAGACATCTTGTCAGAAAATGATGCATTTAACACTTTTGGACTGGTTTATTGTTATTCTTTATTATCTGGGCGTCCAAAACTCTTTAAAAATTAATTCTTCAGTTGACGTCTTCCAACATACAAAGCTTTCAACAACTTATCTCCATCTTAGATTAAATATATTCTGTTCCATATTAACTAACAGACCACTTCACTCTCCGACTGCAGGTTTACTTGTGGTTCCTAGAGTTTGTAAAAGTAGAATGGGAGGCAGAGCCTTCAGTTCTCAGGCTCCTCTCTTGTGGAACCAACTTCCAGTTTCTGTTCATGAGACTGGCACTGCTTAGTCTTTCCTTTGATAAATCCTATAGTTAGGGATGGCTTGGGTTTCCTGAGGTACCCCTTAGTTCTGCCGCTATAGGCTGAGACTGCTGGAGGACAAACTGACCACATCTCTCCACACCCAAACTCTAGTTCAATTTCTGTAAACATGACTGAGTCGTAGCCGTCTTGGTTCTTGCTGAGCTTCGTTAGCTGTGGCGGCCATCTTGATTAAATTTGACTCTGAGGTAATCATTAACGGTAAAGATCAGAGCTCACACGAGACTGCCCACTGAGTCCTAACTGATCCGTTACCCATAATCTACTATGATCTGGCCCAGTTGATCAGAACCCTTTAAATCTTCTGCAGCAGATCATTAACCCCCCCTCGCCTGCTGACAGAACATCAACCGCTGTATGACCCAACAGCCGGTAAATACGGTGGTGCT